CCCTGGAGCCCACAGACAGTGACACCTCTTCTGCTGAGGACAACGGCCTTTCAGTCTGGGTGCGTAACCCAGGACCTAGCGCCCAAGGGTGCTGGGAAGAGGGTCCCGGGAGGCTGCTCCCCCCGCTCTCTGTGTAACCGCGGGATGGCTAGGCTGCTGCAATCCCCCCTTCCCATGCCCACAGCGTTTAAGGGGAGGAGAAGAAAAAAGCCAGAAAAGGCATCCGGGAAAGGCAAATACACCCACACCCACAAGGCACTGCTTACACATGAAAGAATCACAGGCCTCAAAAACAGCGAAAAAGAAAAACGATTTTGCTCAACTCCCTTTTCCCCTTTGCACCCACCGCACTGAACAGAGAAGGGCCTGGGAGGAAGGGGAGGAATGCGATTCGCATATTTATCGGCCCTGTGGAAGGTGAGGCTCCTGGGGGGGGTCTGCTCCACCTCTACGACGGGGCGCTAAAAATACCCCCGCCACTTGTCATTTACAGATTCCAAGGGCTGTTCCCACAATACTCCGATCAGACTTCAGTTGATACAGAGTTTCTCCCCGGTGATTAAACACAGCCTGATTTTTAAGTACCAAGCAGCTGCCTTTGGTTTTGCCTAGAGACAGCATTCTTTAAATTCGGGTTTGATTGGCGCACCAGGGGGTCCCAGTCGCGGCCCCTGCATCCCAGCTTTGACCCTCCGATGACATTGTCGACTGACTGCAGGAGGGGGCAGCGAAGGCAGGGAGGCGGGGCAATGGGGGATCAACAACCACTTTAATAAGAGGCCCCAAACCGAGAAGGGGAGATGGAACCAACAGTCTAACACAGAGCGGTCTATGGTCCTGAAGATGATTACGTACGTATGTTAGTCGGCCAGCTGGACATCAGCAGCTCCCAGAAACGAGGGGGGAGTCCAAATTAGCATGTTTTGCCAGTTATAGTTAATTAAGAAAGAAAGACCTGTGCGTAACACATTTATAATCATTTGTTAGTCTCGGACCGCAAAATACAGGCCTCCATTTCGTAGAAGGCACATAGTACTCTCGGGTGTCGCAGCCTACAGCCTGATGCTTTCAGGAAAGGAAAGCTGTTTCAACGCCCTCTCTCCTTGGGCTGGGACCTGGTTTAAATTAAGAAATTATTTTTCAGAAACACCTTTCATAAGTTTCTTCCAGGATGAAGGTCCATAGGGAGCACCAACCATCTAAAAGGGACATGAAGACGCGCTGCAAGTCAAGTCCCTTCTAAGGAAAATGTCAGTAAATGTCATAATTACGCTAGCTCCCTGGACCCCAGCAGTGACCCTTGTGTGGGTAAAAAGACCCCTGGACTCTCTCAGATGCCCTCTTAGCATTGCCACTTTTCCCTTCGAGGCGAAAACCCTGTCTGTACCTATATCACGATAAATCCCACCTATAGAATGCGTAGAAATAGCCACCCCTGCATGCTGACTGAACTCTTTCATCCAGTGCAGAAGAGGACGGAGGAGGTTGATGGGCTGGTTCCTCCTGGCTTCCCAGTGACAATATCCACCCCTCCAGGAGGGAGCGCCATACAATCACACCAAGCTCCTGGCTGGGTTTTCTCTGCAAGCTGCGGTACATAGGAGCCTGACCTGGAGTCCAGGGGCCAGTGGGCCGAACCGAGGGTGGTCTCGGCGGAAGCCAGGGCTGTGTCCAGTGAGCTCAAGAGGGGTCCTGTGTCTCTGAGTTAATTTGGGAAGAAAAGAGAGCACCTGGGTTTCCTTTGAGGGTGACAGAAATGTTCTAAAATTAGACAGTGGTGGTGGTGAAAATTCAGCGAGAATAATTCACTGTAAAAGGTGAATTTGGGGCTGGGGAATTTACCTAGCAAGCACGAGGCCCTGAACTGTTTAAAAGGACAGTTTAAAAAAATAAAACACTTTTTTTTTTTTTTAAGCTAATGGTGAATTTTCTGATGTAAACTAAATTTCAGGCCGGCTTCCATTTAAAAAAGAAAATAGGGCCAGGGATTTAGCTCAGTGGTTCTGGTGCCTGCCTCGCAAGTGCAAGGTCCTGAGTTTGATCCCCAGTACCAAAAATAAAAAGAAAAGAAAACAGATGAAATCATAAAGTTACTCTAGATCATTTTTTTTCCTTTTAAGAGGGGGTGTGATTTAGACAAAATGACTCTGAATTCAAATCCTGCCTCTCTTTCCTTGTGGGTATGGGAGTCTAGACACAAACTTAACCTCTCTGAATCTCAGTTGTCCCAGCCATGGAAAGGGGGTACTGAAAGTATCCTCTGCCCATTGGGCTGCCCAGAGGACCCAGGTTCTGTTTATATGGAGTGGACACCAGGAAGTGCTCACCACAGAAGAAAATGAATGAAACGAATTATTTGTAAGAGGCTGGAAAAGCTCACCTCACAGGTGCCTAAGTGACAGGACTCAGTGACCCTGTTTGGAGAGTGTCCCAGACCTTGGCCAGGTCAGGTGGCACAGAGCTGTCACACAGAGAACTGTAGCTGGCATTTTATTGAGTACTTGCTACAGGCGAAGTCTCTCCTCTATGCAGTATCTCACTGAGTGCTGCGATCTAGTTCCTACCACGTTCCTGCTTGGCCACCGAGGAACAAACCAAGAAGCTGAGTGGCTTACACAGCGTTCCAGAGAGCAAAGCTGATTCCTATCCAGGCAGCCTGAAACTGAGCGGGGCCAGGCCTGACACCTACCAGCTCAAGCAAGCATGTTGTTACACATCCAGGAATTCTGATTAGTGTCCGAGAATTTTACAAGCAGGTTATTAAAACCACCGGGGCAAGCATGGGAGAAATCAACGCTTAGACAGAGAAATCTGCAGCTGTTCCCAGCAGGGCACACTTTCCCTTCCTCATACCACTGATTCCCGCATGGGGAGAGTCCGCCTGGGTCCTCCTTCCTACAAAATGATAAGAAATCCTTACTTTCTTCGTTCTTGAGGGTTTACGATATGCTTTTAAAGCCATCAAAGTCGAACAGAACTGTGAGGTTAAACTCATTATTTGCACCGATGATGATGAAAGTAGCCCCTGGGGGTGATGAACCCCAGGGTCCACATGAACTCCAGAGCTTCTGAGGCCCCTTTGCCTTCAAAGCAGCAGCCCCGAGAGTGTGTGGGAGGGAGGGAGGGGGGGTCTATTTAAAGATCCCGGCATCTCCATGGCAATGGGCAGCAGCTGCCCCATGGACTCTAGGGAGGGGACCCCTCATTCCACAGACTGAGTCCCCAGATCTGACAGCCCCCTGGAGAGTAGGCAAATGATTTTCACAGTTTCCCCAGGGAGACGTCTGGAGGCGGAGAGTGCGTGGGTGTTGATCTCTAAGCAAGTGAAACTTCCAAATAGTGTCTGACAGTCCCAGGCTCTGCACAGGAGGCAAATTAGAAAGGTTTCATGAATGAGTGAGTGAGTGAAGGAATGCACGGCTGGAAGAAGCCCATCCGCACTCAGAGGTTCGTGGACTGCAAACCGAGCTGTAGGGCAGGAGGAGGCGGATAGAAAACAGTTGCAGAGGCCTCTCGAAAACTGACAGTAGAACTACCATGTGATCCGGCAATCCCACAACTGGGTCTACACTGCAGGAGAAGTGGTCAGTAGGTGGGAGAGACATTGCCCTCCCGCGTCTAAGGCAGCACTGCTTACTGTGGCCGAGAAATGGAAACAGCCAGGGCCCCTCCAGGATGAAAGCAGAAAGAGAACGTGGTACATGTAGCAACAGTGGTGCGCTAGGCTGCCGCAGAAGAATAGATCTTGTCGTCTGCGACATCTTCGGTGACCCTGAAGGGCATTTTGTTAAGTGAAATGAACCAGACGGGAGGAGACAAATACCACAGGTTCTCACGCACGCAGGGGAGCGAACTGAGCTGATCTCACAGAAGTCGAGAATAGAACAGTGGTCACCAGAGGCTGGGAAGGAGGAACATGGGCGGAGAGAGAAGAGGGTGGTTATGAGGTACAAGAACAGTTAGCTAGGAGGAAGAAGTTCTAGTGTTCCATAGCACAGGGGGTGACTACGGTTCACGATTTTATTGTTTCAAAATAGCTAGAAATAAAGGATTTCAAATACTCCCCACACAGAGAAATGATAGATGTTGGAGGTGGCCATGTGCTCGTTACCCCGATTTGATCATAACACGTCGCATGCAGTATTGAAATGTCATGCTGTACCACATAATACGTACAACTATACATCAATTCAATATTTAAACAAAAATCAGGTTGCTGTGTGGCCAATTAAGTTCATGAATGGCCCCAGTGAAGGGCCTCCCTGCACCGCGGCTCTCTTATTCCTCTCTGCCTGGTTCTGGGCCAGGAATGTGACTCATACCAGCCAGGGGGATTGCTGCAGTTTGGATGCTGCAGTCCCCAGAGGCTCATATTCCAAAGTCTTCAACCCCAGGCTGGCCCTGCTGGGAGGCAGTAGATCATCTAGAATGTGGGAGAATCCTTCAGTCATTGGGAGCAAGCCCTCAAAGGGGACTGTGAGGCCTCTTGTGAGGCCTCTATTTTTTCTTTCTTTCTTTCTTTCTTTTTTTTTTGCAGCCTGACTCAAAGGGGAACCATGATGTGCTTTCCTTGACAGAGGCCCAAAGTGATGGGTCTGCCTGATCTTGAACTGCAACCTCCAAAGCCATAAGCTACATAAACCTTTTCTCTTTATAAGCCTGTTATCTCAAGTATTTTGTTATAGTAACAAAAAGCTGACAAATACAGGGCTATAGTAGCTCAAGCAGAGCTTGAAAAGCCATCGTGCATGTTGCTCTCTCTGGGCCATGGCTGCCACAATGAGAATAAATCCCACCATGAAGAATGTGGAGACAAGGAAGGAGAGCTGAATCACCTTGGCAGGGGCCTGCCTAGACCACCAGCCCCCAAGTAACCAACCAGGTGACCGGACACATGAATGGGACTGGCGGTGATTAGTGAAACTGCCTAGCTTACCCACAAACTCTAGAGAAATGACTTTAAAAAAAGGTTTTTCAAAATATTCTTAAATATTGGTTTCTTAAAAATAAATTTAATTGTACAAATTTAAGGTTTGCAACACAATGTTATGAAATACATGGAGACAATAAATGGCTTAAAGGACAATTTGAAACAGCGAAGTCTGGGGCTGCTCGTCATGCAGCAGTAGCTACCTGATACAAACTGCCTGCTTCGCAGGTGTCCACAGAGCTCAGAGGCACGTGTTCATTTCTCCTCTCAGAAGGTCCATCTCAGGGAGACTCTGATGAAGCGCTTCAGTGTGGCTCCTTCTTACCAGAATACTCAGGTAGATCACTCTGCATGGAGAATGAAAAACTCTGTCCACAGTGAAGCGGACAAAGACGTGACTGAACATGCCAGCCCCCTTGGGGAGTATGGTCCCCCCAGGTGAGAAAGACAGTAAGGAGAATGTGAAGGAACAAAGGGCTTCGTTTCCATTCCTACTTTGAAAGATAAGCTTTGGCCTGAATCGCTCCTGGCTGCCCCGCCCCTATCCCAGATGGCCTGTGCCAGACACAGGACCTCCTGTGGCCCGGAGCCATTGTGAAGAAGGTGTCTGGGCCTTGCTCTTCTTGCGGGATTTCTTTTCCTGGTGTGACCTAAAGTCCCAAAATGCCCAGAAGAAGCCCTGCTGCGGGCTGGCAGAATCCAAAGTAGGATCTTTTTTTTTTTGGAGGTGCTGGGGATCGAACACAGGCCCTCGCACTTGCAAGGCAGGCAGCCGAACCACTGAGCCAAATCCCCCGCCCCCAAACTAGGATCTTTAGGCTGTGGCAAAATGAAGTGGACTACAGCCTCCCTACTCAAACACAGTTGAGGTCATGGGGATTCTCTGGGCACTGGCTGCAAACGCTGAACCCCAGCCCCGTCCCTGACAGGCAGCAAAACCCGCACCTAAAGCGCCAGGCGGCTGCTGTCACTGCGCATGCATACACGAAAGCTGCACCCTAGCTCTGCGACCAGGTCCAGAGTAGCAGGGCACCGTGATTCTCCGGGTTACGGGGCCACCCTCAGCCACCGCAGATCACGTGTGCACATCCAGGCTGCTCGGAGTCCCTCAGTGCCGAGCCCACTCTGGAGCCTTGGATTCTTGGGCGCTCTCTGCACTTTGCAAGGGCCACAGAGACCCAGAGGTTCGCTCCTGAGAAGCCTGCGTCCAATGCCAACATTAAATGTTTCTGTCGCTCTTCCCTGATCCCAACAGGAAAGCTCTGGGCTGAAAAGACAAAAGCTTTATTGGAAGTAATCTCCATGGAAATCATGAATGCAGTTTATTAACACAGGAAAAAAATCCTAAGGATATTTTAAACTTTTAAAATATCTTTGCAGGCTAATGGCAATGAAAACTAAGCATTTTTAAAAGCAAAAAGGGCCTGTAGCAGGAGTTAAATTCAAACCAAAATGCTCTCTGAATTTTAACAATCCTATTTTAAGCTCTTATTAAACCTTGGAAATCCTGTTAATTTAAATTATTGGCCATACAACGACACCTTCCCTGAAATAATTCACACCTTCAATCATCTCAGGGAATATTTTTTCCAAAAAAATTAATTTTATATATATATATACCTAGATATGTGTATACATATGCACATTATTTATGTCCTGCTTCTGCTGGTGCATGATTTTTCTGCAACTCTGAACTTTGGAATGACGACAATGAAAAACAGACCTAGTCCATGTTTCCAAGTGATTTTTTTTTTTTTTTTGGCTTCTGTTCACAATAACCTTTTTCAAAAAAAGACGAGTGAGGCTGAAGGTAACTAATTATTTAGCTGCCAGGACTGAAAAGACAGGCTGTACAGTGGCAGAGATAAGACACTGCTTAGAATGCTGTAGGTGACATGCAAATGCATTCTGATTTTTTTTCCAACTCCCTTTAGAAGAGAAAAAAACCTCATCTGAAAAAGGAGCTTCAAGGAGGTTAACAGAGGAGGAAATGGTGGGGGACCCTGTCTCCCTGCTGTCTCTGGCTGCAAGGATGAGCTGCTCTCAAGCAGCAGCCCGCTAACTTCAGAACAGGGCAATGTGGGCTGGACTTGGAAATTGTCACCAGAGGGATCCGCCACATCAGCTGGTGTCTGGGTCATGTCCATCCCTTACTTGCTGTGGATCACCAAGCGACCTTTTTACAGTCTCAGTCTCAGGAGTGGGAGGTGTTGACCTCACCTCTGACCCCAAAGGGAAGAACACTTGTGAGAAGAGCCTGTCTGAGAAAGCCAAACTCAGTGGAGGGCACTGCTGAGTGAGGAAAACTAACAAGGTAAGTCCTGGATCCAGCCATACCTGAAACCTCCACACTTCCAAAATCTAAGAATTAATAAATTCTCCTCCTTTTGTTTTGTTTTGCACTCACCCTGTTTTCACTTTGGTTTCTGCTGCTTGCAACCAAACAGAACTACCTTCTTTATTCTATTCATAATCCCTCGGGGGTCACAGCAAATTCCTTTGCCCCTCCTCAAAAATTACCTCAAGTGCTCTTCCAGTCCTGCAACAAGGCCCCATGCACCTGAGTGTGCAGTGTCATATGCTTTTATAAATGTTCATATCCTTAGTAAAGATCCCAAGGGACTGAGAGTCTGCATCCTCCATCAGAGCCTGTATGAGAACACACGAGATGAAATTTTAAGCCCAAAGAGGCAACATACGTCTGTAGGTGGCTTGGGAAACAGTCTTCTGGCTGACGGGGGGAAAAATCCACCAACAAAACCAAAATCCTAATATTAGATTTCATGTGCTACCAAGTAAACTTTTTCTCTTATAGAACAAATTGTTTCTATAGAAACGAATGCTTTTCTAGCGGCCCAATCCCTATTAGGGTTTCTATGGGAACAGATGGAGGAAATTAGGGAAGTGTAAAACAAGGCAAATGACTGCTCAGGGTCTTCCCTCACCCCTCACCCCAGACCCACAGAGGGCAAATGCCTCTCCTCCTGAAGACCCTAGTGCTGGGATGACACAGTCCTACCCTGGCCGCCGCTTGTCACCCGAGCGAGGCTTTCCTCAGAGCACTGGAGCCTAATTCAGAGTGGCAGGGGTTCCTCTGAGTCACCTTCGGGGGTCTCCCTGGGCTGGGGCGCAGGAGTGCAGGATCCCGTGGTGGCGAGCTGTGTGTGCAGATCCTAAGGATAATGCTACAGACTCTGTCGTGTGGAGAGAAACCTTTCATCCTGAGAAAGCTGAGTGCACATATTTCAGGAAGGCTTTACTGAGCGCTAAACCACGAGGGCTGCCCAGCTCGCAGGGTGCCAGTGAGGGACACGCTAGTAAAGGTTCTCCTCTTTCTCCTGAAGAGTGGGGGAGACAGCCAGACGTGGACGCTGTCCCTTCACTATTGTTCTGTTTCTGGAATCTTCTGCCTCTGAGTAGAGAATGACATCTGTCTGATAAAGGGACAGAATTCCCCACCAGCTCTCCCCAAGGACACGGCCCCAAGGGGGGTGGACAGACAGGAAGCGGTCACGGCCTGGGGCAGCCATTGCTTGCTTACAGCTGATGAACACCTCCGTCTATAACACAGGGTGACAAGATGTGTGCAGCATGGAGCCGGCAGCCCCACTTTACAACAGTCCCCCAAGTCTCCAGGGGCCGGATGATCTTGCAAATGAGGGGAACTGCATGTTCAGGAGGCAGCTGAGGCTGTGGAGTCCGTGGCAACAGCAGACAGCAGCAGGCTGCACTGGAGACCTTCCGCTTTGCAGCCCCACACCTGCCTCCGCTGTGCACCTGGGCTCGCACCTTCTCCAGTCTCGGGGTAAAACAATCCCCTAAGGGGCTGGAGCCCTCTCTGTGTGGGTGGTGGGGGAGCACTGCGGATCCACACACAGGAGAAGGCTCACCTTTCCTATACTTCCAAGGGGATCCAAGCCCCATCGTCCCCTCCTGGGGAAGCAGGAGCCTCCGCACCAGTTCCTCCCTTCTACTCCGAACCTGCAGGCAGCAAGTCCCCCGCATATAGCCAAGGAATCCTTTTAAAGCAAGAGTCAAGTCATGCTCCTCTGCTTCCCAAACCCTCCCATGGCTCCCAGGTCCTTCAGAATAAAAGCTGGAGGTCTAACAGTGACCTACAAGGCCCTGAGTAATCTGCCCCCACCCTGTCACCTGCCACTGGCCACACTGCTCCCTCACTGTCCTTCAGGCACGTACTTGCCGCAGGGCTTTTGCACCTCCTGCTCTCTAGATGCTCACATGGCTGGCTCTGAGGCCATCCAGGGCTTTGCTCCTTGGGATCACATCCTTGTGACTCCCTCCTTTGGCCACTCAATGTTAACTGCCAGCACCCACTCCCAGGACTTAGCCCTTCTGAAGGAAAGCAGGAAGTGGCGCCCAGAGGAGCACCAAGCACAGAGCAGGCTCTCAACACACCTGTGCTAGGGACGCAGCAATACAGCAAGCTGGGGGTGGGGAGGGACACATCGCAAACCCCAGGCTCCAGGCACAGGTGTTCATAACTCTGGCCACAGCCCATCTTGCATGGGAGCCCACCACTGGGCAGGCACAAGGTGCAGGAGACAGGAGGTCCTGGTGACCATGCTGGATCCAAACTTTATGTGGAAAGGCAAAGCATGTAGACAAAACATGACACTTCCTGCCCCCCTTTGCGGCTAAGCTTTGTGACCAACTTCAGTATTGCGCAGGAATTCTCAGATGATCCTTAAAGAGAGGGGCTCAAGCTGCTAAATGGGCTCATTTTGTCCTTTGCCCTTTCTTCTTTTCTGATGTGCGGAATACAGGCACATGGCTAAGGCTCCAGCAGCTATTTTGGGCCATGAGGCAAACTTAAAGGAAGGCAGTGGTAGAAGACAGAAGCCCCACAGCCAGAAGCTCGCCCAGACACCAGCGGCTTGGTGGTGCAGACCCCAGCCAGAAGCCCACCTGGAAAACAGTTGTGCAGGCCCATAGGCCCCAGCTAGAGGCCCACACAAATACCATCCGTCAGTGTGTGCACCCCAGCCAGAATCCTGCCCAGACGACAGCCCTGTGTGGAGATCCAGGAGGCCATTCTGAGCCCAGGAATTGATGCGGTGGTGAACAGCAGAGAGGCGGCCTCTCTGAAGCTTATTCAGAATGGAAGCCCACTGGAAGAGCAGAAAGTCGCTCTAATAAAGGTGCAGCAGACTGCACGGCTTGACACGAGAAGACACCTAAACAAGTCTGAGAACCAGACTTCCAGATCACCAAAGGCAACCCCAAAGGGCAGTGAGATGAAACCATCTGAAACTCAGATGATCTCCCTGAACTGGCAATGAAAGAGGATCTGGGAAAAAATTAAATCAGAATTAATTTCTCAGATAACAATAGAGATTGTGTCCATAGTGAAGGACATGATTAACAACTCTAGAGCAGGCACAGATTAAAAAAAAATGAGGAGCTGAAGCACGTGATGGAATCCCAGCATAGGAAACCAATGGAATCCACAAAACAGATGCAAACAGATATCCAGGAGATGAAAAGCTCCAATGAACGTTCATGCAGCAGAACGAGCCAATGTGAGGGCAGAATATCAGATACAGAAGACAGGGTTACAATTAGTAACCAGGAAAAGCGAGATTTCTTAAAAACAGGAAGGGACCTCGAGAACTCAATCCCGCAGCTGCTAGATGACACAAAGAAGAATAACATAAGACTGATTGGAGTCAAAGAAGAAACAGGAAGGAGGGCAAAAGACATAAAAAATATTATTCACAGAAGTAATGGCAGAAAACTTCCCAAGCAGGGGAAGAGAATTTGACATACAGATACGTGAGGCATATAGTACTCCAACCAGCTGTGATTAAAAAAAAAACAATCTACACCTAGCATGTACTAGTCAAGATTCCAGAAACCCAACAGAAGAACAAAATACTACAAGCAGTTAGAGAAAAGAAACACATCACATACAAAAGAAAGACCATCAGAATCACAGCATATTTCTCAACATAAACCCTCAAGTCGAGAAAAGCCTGAGTGAAGTATTTCAAGTTCAAAAAGAAAACAACCTCTAACTCAGATTGATGTACCTTACAAAACTATTTTTCAAAATCAGTGGAGAAATAAGACACTTTCATGACAAGGAACAGCTGAGGGACTTCATGAACATCAAACTAGCACTACAAAAAAATTTGAACAATATCCTAGGAAAAGACACTGAGGGGCACAACCCCACAAAGCCCCGTATAGTGAATCCATCAGGCAAGAAAAGAAATTAAATGCAAAGGGGGAGAATCCAGCAACAGGAAAAGGTCAAGACAAGAATAAGTCAACACATATCTGTTATAACCATAAATATCTCAATCGCCTCAATTTACTAATTAAAAGAAATAGACTGGCAGGATGGGTCCAAAGCAAGATCCAACAATATGTTGCATGCAAGAAACACGCTTAATTCAAAAAGAAACTCACAGAGTGAAAGTTAAAGGGTGGAAAACAATATTCCATGTGATAGGAACTTGAAAAAAGCAGGAATAGCTATCTTGTTTGCAGATAAAATGGATTTCAAACCAACACTAATTAAGAGAGACAAAGAAGGCCACTACATCCTTAAAAAGGGAACAACCCAAGAGGAAGAGATGACAATCGTAAATATATATGCTCCAAATACTAGCACACCCAACTATACAAAACAAATATGAACAGACATGAAAAATCAAGCATTAGTACAATAGTGGTGGGAGACCTTAATATCTCAAATACATAGATCAATTAGACAAACAAATCAACAATGAAATATGAGAACTCAACCAAACTCTTGAACAAATGGACTTAACAGATGTTTACAGAGTGTTCCACCCCACAAAGTCAGAATACACATTCTTTTCAGCTGCACACAGGTTGGTCTCCAAAATAGACCACACGCTTGCTCATAGAACATGTTTAAGTAAATGCAAAGGAATTGAAGTTGTCCTGTGTATATTATCAGATCATAGTGTGATGAAATTAGAGATCAACTGTGAAAGAAACCACCGACATTTTATAAGCACATGGAAATTGAATAACACACTCCTGAATAGCCAATGGGTCACAGATATACTGAATAGTTTCTCTGGTATGAGAAACTGAAAGTGTAAATAAGGATCAAAATGCATAACAGATAATTTGAAACGGGAAGAAAAGGTCCAGAGGGGAAGGGGAAGGGGTAGGGGAAGGAAAGAAGGAACGGAATAAATATGAGAAAAGGGAAAAACAGAAACAAAGTCTTCGTAAATAGGGAGGGGTAGAGGGCAGGGGAATGGGGGAAAAAAATAAGAACCAAGATCCGTCATGTAAAGGTACAAATTCCCAATGATGAATGTCAGCATATCGTATGCCTAAAATGTACTAATAAACTTAATGAAAAAAAAGAAAGGAATCAGCCAATAATAAATGCTGGTAGGGTTGAAAAGAAAGAAAGAAAGAAAATAGAAGCCCCAGATCCTTGAAGATCTGGAATTTGCAACCAGTGTCAGACAGGCTACTTCTGGACCTTTTTACAGGATAGAAAGCACATTTCCATTTGATACACAACAAGGCTGTGTTATGACTTCCGTAGGCCTTGGGCTTTTTTGCCTTCGTGAACGCCTTCCTCCATGTGAGAAAAATATTTAAAATTACATTTTTATGGCTATATTAGTATAAAGGCT